GGGGGGGGGGGAGGCAGGATAACCTTGAATTTTATTGAAAATGTCTCTGTAATAAATCCTTAACTTTTTCATTCTTTTTTTAACAAGATTTAATATTACTTTCAAAGTTTACTAACTCATGTTTGTTTACATCAGATCGACTGCCTTTGTTATTGTTGTTACGCAAAAACTAGTTCTTCAGCAGTCCAAAAACGTCACAGCAAAGTGTACGGAAACCCTATCGCCCGGCCTCCTTCTATTCAATATCTCCTTGCTTATTTATATGTATTAGGACTGTGTTACCAACCTTTGCAGTATTAATTGTGAATGGGAACCATGGGGATACTGGTCTAAATGCTCTATGTCATGCGGCAGAGGAATCAGGTAATCATCATCATCATCATCATCATCATCATCATCATCATCATGCATCATCATCATCACACTCATTAAATACAAAATTTGAGGAGCAATTGTGTTCAAATGAATTATAATTTAGAAAGAGAACCAGAAAGATAGCTGCTGAAGCTGAGTACGGAGGAAGAAAGTGCGGAAATGACTCGGAAGAAGTAGAAGAGTGTATTGATGTAAGTTTACCTCAGCTGGGATCTCTTGTATTAGGGATTGCGAAATCTTTTCTTAATCTGCATATTCAGTTAACCTTTATTCGACATAATATCCCGCATCGTAATTGTACCCAGTCGATAAGAGGTTGAAGGGAGCTTTAATCAGGAGAGGAACAACTAATATAACTTAATAAGATATGGAAAGGCAAAGTCTTTTTTTAATAGATCATAAAATTAAAAGTGCCTAAAGTAGATATCGGAATCAAGGGATCTAAGAGTATCCAACGCAAAAGTTTCCAGTTCTTATCACCTGATTAGAATAAAAACTCTCGATACATTAGAATAGATATCTTATGCAGACTGTATAAAAGCTGAACATTGTACAACACCATGGACAATATGAACTTGTTATTTAAAAAGGTCAATGAATTCGTTTTTATACTTCTCGAGGTCAATCTGTCCTTGTAATTTTATTTGCAGAGGGCCAAACCCAATTCACAACGGTACCCTTTAAACTGCTGCGTGATCATTAATGTGGAAGATTTCCTTGTTTTCTTCTTTAACTTGAACACAATTCCTTTATTTCTCTTTATTGTCTCTGCACGCATGAATCCCAACTCTCCCAACTCATTGTTATCAATCTATAATTTTATCATTTCTAAAGAAATAAACATGGATAGCTCACAGATTCTTGATTTCCAGGGTTTTGGCGTAAATATGGCATTTTAGAGAGTATGAACAATTCCAATATATAGTTTATTTGGTATATATTTAATAAACAGATATTTATATCGAAGAGTAGATCTGTTCAAGTTGAAGGGTAGAGACGGACTCTCAGATTCCTGCTTCTACAGCATTCCATTTTTGAAATGAAGAGAAAATTGAGATTTAATTTTAAACATTTCATTTCACAATTTTCATTTACTCGCTTTTTTTCTTGTTAGGAAGTTTGCCCAGTAGATGGTGTTTGGAGTACATGGACAAGGTACTTTTTTATTCTATATTTGGCTTCAGCTCTTGGTTTCATGCTTTCTTTGGGTGTATGCAATAAACCCCAAAAAGGATGAATTGTTCTTGCAAAAAAATCGTAGAACCCGAAGGACGAATTTAGACAAAATTTAGACTCCGTAACTTGGATTTTTTTTAAATATGAAATTCAATCAAAGAAAACAAAAAAAATACATCAAACCTATTTTAAGGCTTGCTGATAAATTATATAGCAATATGAAGCTAAGATTAATACCAGCAGACAACAGAGCTTTTTTTCCAAAAATATTTGAACAATATTTCTTTTGGAAACTTTGTTGTTTAATCCAACCTACCCTAATTGAAGCTTTTTCAAATTTTTTGAAAAATTGTATTAAACTTTTAGAACCAATTTGATCAGTTTGATTTCAAAATTGCTCTTGTTTTTAACTATATTTCTAGATTACCTTTGTTTAAAAAAAATTATAATTTTTCTCAATTTTCTTCTAGATGGGGATACTGTTCCAAAACCTGCGGTGTTGGATCCAGGTCTAGGTGAGCTAAACAAAAATAGAACAATTCTAAATCTATGAAATAAAACAAGACATTCGTATACATGTTCCCAATAGCCGGCCAAACAGCTGGACCGAACGGGCTGACATTTTTTGTGGACACTCATGCGTAGCCTGGAGGTGACATAGGCTAAATAAAAATCGAATCTTTCAATTTCTTTTTTTCAAGATATTTTAAATTTTTTATTTTATATCCACGGGCAAGGCCGCGCCCTTCAGTAAGTTAAAAAAATGTTAGAAAAATATTCGTTCTGCACAAACAAATTAATAATTTAAATAGAAAATCTCTGAAAATTATGAAATAAAAAAAATTCTCATCATTTTCAGTAAAAATGTCAAATGGTACTCATCTTTTATATATATATATATGCAGTGGTAGACGGTTATATATTAATAATAACAAGCTTTTTTTAAATCACAAGGTATTTTTAATTAACAGCTTCTCGTGACTTCTATGTTTATGTCTCTCCATGCTGTTTTACAACTTGATATTAATCAAAATTAAAATCGAAAGTCGTCTTCTTTGTATTGTTATAATCGCCTATCACTGTACATATAAAGTTTTATTTTGAATATAAAGTTTTACAAAAATATGCAAAATTATGCAAAAATAGGCGACATTGATTATTATTTTATAGCGTTTCTATAATTTTAGTAATTAATTCATTATCGAATCCTTCAGCATATGTTTTCAATTATTTCAAATATTTAAATTTTTTATTTTAATCAGACAATGACATAAAAACAATATATATATATTTGTCGAGCACGGTTTACATAAGTACATGTTGGGTTAAGAACTCCAGGTCGTCATCGTTGTTTCATCTTTTGTGGGTAACCCTGCATACACTTTTATGTCTATGATAAAGAGTTGAAGAGAAGAAACAATAAAAATGTTTGAAATAAGAATGTTTTAAGTTAAATTTATGCCCTAGAAACTTAACATTTTTGACATAACTTTTTGCTCATGAACTGAAAACCTACAAATTTAAAAATTGTCAAATGTTTGCAGTCAACATCATCGAATACTCTTTAAATAAAAAAAGAAAAGCTAAAAATTGGTCAATTCCATAAAATCCCTCTTAGAAATACTATCACTCTATATACAAGTGTACAGCGTGAGATACGTAAACATATTGTGATGTATACAACCGACCACTCTATTAATTAATTAATAGACAGGTCGGTTGTGTACATCTGAGCTAAGCTTCACCTCTTCGTTTTATTACTCTATGTTTAACCTTAAAAAACTGGGAAGATGGGGGAGGGGGGGGGGAGACATTGAAACCCACCCCCTCCCCCCTCCACTAACTATTATGGTTAGAGTTTTAATGAAAGGTTTAATACAGATTTTTAGGATTAATGAATAACATTAATTTTAAAAATAATATGTGACAAAGGTTGAAATCTCAAAGAAATAGAACACTCTAGTTTTCTAATCTCTATATCTTTACAACCTGGCGAGAATCATGAAACTCTGAAATAGGAAGTCGTTTTTTAGACTAAAGTAATGACTTTAAATAGTTCAATGAAGTTAAAAAAAACAGTAATTGTGCAATGTAAACAGACCCATTTCACTTAATAAGTAAATATATAAGTTACTAGTAAAACTATTTACTTTGTAAAACCATTAAATACATTTAATTATTACTTTAATGTCGTCTTCCTATTCCACAGACTTGAGAAAATTTTAATTTGTGTTTACAGTTCATCTAAAGGGATAGTTTGCATAATTTCAATCGACCCTCCATGTTAATATGACAATACTCTATTTACAAGAGAACCTTTAAAAGCTTTGTCTGATCAAGTATNTTTAGACCAATACTTTTTGAGTTATGTTCAAAAACGAAAAGAATATGGTTAATACTTAATACTTAAAAGCTGTTTGTTACTAGATTGTCCTCCTGTCGATGGCGGCTGGAGCACGTGGGGTAGATGGTCTCAGTGCAGCACAACTTGCGGCAAAGGAGAACAAAGACGACTAAGGTATTTAGTTATATGAGGGAGGGAGTCCAGAGTTCCTCAAATAGTAATCACCGCCACCAAAATCTGTTTTGCGGCAAGCGCGCTCCTCAATTGGTAATCTCTACCACCTTAATTAGTAATCACCGTCAAATTTTGTTTTCTGTGATTTGAATTTCATGCACTTTTAACACAATTTTCGACATCCATCGGGGTTGACTTAAACTAAATTTTCAAATTATTTTCAGATTTGTTTGGTCAACAAAAACTGAAAATCAAGGCACAGTTCATTTTAGCCGAATCTTAGATCCAATTTGCCACTATAATGACTGCATTTCATGATTGGCGTCAAGATACAAAAATGGTCGGGCTGCCTGTTTACTAAAAATTATCTCATCCCACGCAAAGTAATATCCATCTCCATTTAAAAGATATTTTCAAAAAACCTTTACAGTGCTTAAATTTTTGTATTCGCCTACTCGAGTTCAACATCTACAACAAAACTAATTATATGCATAGAAAGAACATAAAATTTTGAAAAATTAGTCTCATCCCACTGAAAATGAAGTATTTAGTCCACTAATAATGGGTTAATGTTTCCTCTCTATATAAGGAGTTTAAAACAACATTCAGAGGAAAATGCCGCATTCTTAAAGCGAAACTTGAAACTAAAAAACGTAATATATTTCTAGCACTTCGTGTGGCATATTTATAGATTTATTTTCGAAACTAAGGAGCGATAAAGAAAGCTTTAACAATATTGTACACCATAGGGCCATTAAAAGAGGTCAATATGGTCTTATTTCTAAGGAATAAACGATTTAATGTTATGCTTTTTGGGCTGATTACTATTTGAGGTGGTGGAGATTACCAATTGACGAGCACGCTCGCCGCAAAACAGATTTGGGTGGCGGTGATTACTATTTGAGGAACTCTGGACTCCCTCCCTCGTTATATTTATTTATTTTTCATAAAAATTAATAATGAAAAGAAAAGAATAACTAATAGATATTTTACAGGTACACGGTTTAGCATCCTTTAAACAGTAAACAGAGCTTTATTTCACCTAAATCATGTTCAATGTTTAAACTGGGATACCTTGTAATTTTCATTTTGACACACTGGTGTCTGTATTTCAGCTGCAAATGACAAAAAATAAGAACGCTAATAAGATGAAGACAAGCAACATCGTTAAGATAAAAAATGAAATTTAAATGAATTTAAATGAAGACAGTTTAATATCGGATTCTCTATTGAGAAGTGTATTAAACTAGATATATGCCTCACATAGATCCAGGCTGCTGTAAAACAAATGCATCAATTAGCAAGACGCTGCAATGGCATGGCCTTTGCGATTTCCTTACTGACTCATTCAAACGTTTTATAACCCTAATCGAGTACATTTAAAAGTAGAAATACTCGATTTTATCTTTGCATTTTAGAAGATAATTGGCAAAACTCTTATTAATTTTTGCATGAGAGCTTTTACCTTTGTATCAATTTACCTAGTCCATGCAACTACTTTTTGTTGTTGTTTAAGATATACAGGGTTGCCCAAAAAATATAGGACTGTAAAGACGACCTCAAACTTTTGAAATTTAACGACTCCGGGGTTAAATTAAGTCTTCACCTTGAATATAATCTTTTTATGGCTTAATCAATGATCAGGCAAAAAAGAAACAAGTTTACAGTAATCAGGAAATCGTCTCTGAAGTCTCATTCCTTGTGGGTTACCCTGTACCATCTCTATTTCTAGATCCTGTACAGCTCCAATGCCCTCTGGAGAAGGTAGAATGTGTACTGGAGAAAGGTATTGGGTCTGTGTACACTGCACAAATGTTGAATTTCGTGTTCTATGAACTTTTTGAAATCCTAACTTGATTCTAACAGTAGCTTTTCTATTCCAGATGTTATGAATCTCCCTGTAACAGAAAAAGTTTGTCAATCTTATATTTTTTATGATTTTTTTCAGTTTTGAGACAAATAATTGCATACTCAGACTTTGCTTGGTAAATATATATTTATATTTTTTAGCTTTTTTAATATAATATTTATTTGTTAATATCTATCTATATATCTATCTATCTCTATTTTTAGACGGAAGGAACCCTAGAACCTGGCACAGACCTCCTTAGAACAAATATCCTTGGCGCAAATCGTTTATTCGCAAATTTTAATAATCAGAATTCTAAAAACAGAATCTTTAACAAGAATCAGATCAGTCTGAGCAGGATTAACCAGAACAAGATCAGACAAAACCTAGAACCAACCAATATGGCGGAATCAGAAGACAAAATGGCGGATAGATCAGCTGTTCAGCCAATAGAAAATCTACCGGAAAAGAACTTGATTTGTGGGGTAAATCATTTATATTTTTAGTAATTAAGAATTCGAGAAAATTGTCTTTAAACAAAATTATATACAGGGTGAGTCAAAAAAAAGTGTGATTTGCGGCGGCTGGTGCAAAATTGCACCTGTTTTTGTGCAACTCTCCTGCATGGTGTTTTTTCAATAGTTTTAAAAATTTGAAATTTTTTTGGTACTCCAATGGCCCAAAAAAAAATCCGCGAACCTTTTTCTCCCTCAAAATCAAAAGTTCAGAAAAGCAAAAATGTGTGTAAAAAATATTTCTATCGAAATCTAAAATTTTTTGAAGATTGAATCAAAGAATCACAAAAAAATCGCAAAATTGTTATAAGAAAATTTGCAATTTTTAGCTCTGGTCTAATTTTGAAGGAAAAGTTATTCAAATTCTCTAGTTCCTTTCTTCTTAGTATATTCTAAAGTATTAAATATACGCTGTTCAGTTGAAACCTTAAGAACCATTGGAAAACAATTTTTCCGTAAAAATCATACCAGAACTGAAAACTGCGAATTTTCTAATTACAATTTTGCAAATTTTTTGAGATTCTGCAGATTCAATCTTTTTAAAATTATAGATTTCGATAGAAACAATTTATTTACACATTTTTGTTTTTCTGAACTTTTGATTTTGAGAGAAAAAAAGGTTCGCGGATTTTTTTTTGGGCCATTGAAGTACCAAAAAAATTATAAAGAACCTGTCAAATCATTCGTTGGGATGTTTAGAAAGATGAAAATTTTCCCGTATGATAATTGAAGGACTGCAGTATGGTTTTGGTGAATTATATTGACGTACTAAGCCTAGGGAGAAGTACCAAAAAAATTATAAATTTTCAAAAAATATTGAAAAAACACCATACAGGAGAGTTGCACAAAAAAAGGTACAATTTTGCATCAGGCGCCGCGAATCACACTTTTTTTTTTACTCACCCTGTATATTGACAGACTAATTGAATCTGATTTTTAAAGTGCACCTAATTTCTGAAAAGCCATATATCACTTATTTTTAAAATGAATAATTTAAAAATGTTTTTTTTGAAAGAAGAAATCTGAAAACATGAGTAATAGTTTATTTTTCTATGCAGAATGCTTCATGCAAAACATAAGTTCATATTACGTTTACATTATGTTACTAGAATGTTCCGTACATTTTTGGATTTGGAGATCCTGTTGTACAGTCAGATGGTCGGATCATGTACACATGCACACAGGTATGTTAGTCAGATGGTTGGTGTCATGTACACATGCACACAGGTATAGTTAGTCAGATGGATATAATATTTAACTATATCAAATGTTTACATTTCTTAAATAAAAATAGATACGATTGGGATATTTTTGTCTATTATAGAGGAGGGGGGGGAGTGTGATACATGTCCCGAGTCCTGATATTCATCTATATATATCCCAGGGGAGGGTACTGGATACAAGGACCAATAGAAGACGATTTATTGCAGAGTGTGACAGGTATTTTAAGGATATCGGTCGGAACTTTTTTACAGTCGTTGTCGTATATATCAATACAATGAAGACATCTTTCGATTTCAATTTTAGATGACTACCAAGCTTTCAAATATTATGGCTACATATAAAACATAGAAACAAAGAGAAGCTGTCAAATTTTCAAATTACATTTTCTGTTTGTTTACTTGTAAACTTGTAATCTTTAAAAAGTTTGTTAGAAATTAAACTTGAATAGAAAAGCTGTCTGCGTTGTATTGACATAAACGCCGAGCAAATGCTCTTTGTCTTTATAATTTATTCTGTTTTCGACAGTAAAACAATCAGTTTTAAAAGGGCTGAAAGAATATGGTTGTTAATTTACCCTTGAGATAAAACCTTTTATTTAAATTACGAGTCTATATTTTAACTTGCTGACTACTAACGCATTTATATAAATAACATTTACATGAATTAAACATACTGAGAACTCTTACGGAGAATCGCCGACTACTGCATTTAGAAATTGCAAATTAGTGTAATCGGGGGAAACAGCTGATTTTTACTTTAAACAGCTGATTTGTACTTTAAACAGCTGATTTGTACTTTAAGATCTCTCATTGGCTAAGAGTCGATATTTTCTAGCTTCTGATTAGCCAGAACTTCAGGAATTAATCATCAGAAGATGCAGATTAGTTTTTTCTCCTGGGATTAACAACATAAAAGTTTAATCATCCAAAGGTTGAATTTTCAATCTTGTTTATTTTGACATTATATACAAAAACTAAAAGTTTTTTCTCTAGCTTAGTGCATCTTATATTAGATAAGATGTATTTTCATTTTTCTCATTTTTGAGTTTTTAGGTTATTTATAACTACTAGCCTTAGAGGGCGCTTCGCGCCCATCTTCTAAATTAATTGTGAACATGTTCTCTTNGCATTTGTATATATTCTTTCAGGTTTGGGTTTTTAAACATGACGCTTGTACCAGAGTGCAGAGCAGCGACACATTGTGTGGGACCTGTACATAGGCCAGGTATAGGAGGAACTTTGTACATTGTGTGGAAATGGGATCTGTACATAAGCCAGGTAGGAGCTATGTACTTTGTTTAGGACCTGTACATAAGCCATGTAAAGGCTCTTTAAATTGTGTGGGACCTGTACATAGGCCAGGTTGGAACTATGTACATTGTGTAGGACCTATACAGCGTACATAGGCTAGGTTGGAACTATGCACATTGTGTAGGACCTGTACAGCGTACATAGGTCAGGGTAGGAACTGTGTACATTTGGAAAATTTGTCCACTAAAGTGTATGAAAGGCTTTCAAAATTTTAAACATTTTTGTTTTTGTTTTTAATTGAAGAACACTGCTTTCTTCAATGTTAACCCTTGGGAAGAACAGATTTAAATTAACAGTATATATGTAAGAAAAGAAACTGAATTAATTTCTTGCAGTCTTCTCATGTTTGTGGGTCACCCTGTAGTTTATGCTAAAATAATACTAAAATATTGCTCGGAGGAATTTTATTTCTTTGCAAATATATTTTAGCTTCTGTGCTATACATTATTTGTTTTCTTCTCTTGGATACTTTTAAAGAAATTGTTTTTCATGAAATATAAGTTCTTTCAGCTTTATGGAACATTTATTTTATTTCAAGGCTGAAGACTGATTCAACGCTTTTTTGTTTGGAAAAATTCTTTTAAGTTTCTTTTCATAAAAGTTCCATTATTTTCTAATACAATATATACGTTTTTTATTGTTCAGTAACTTACTTTAATTGTTCAGTTACTTACTTTAATTGTTCAGTAACTTACTTTAATTGTTCAGTTACTTACTTTAATTGTTCAGTTACTTACTTTAATTGTTCAGTTACTTACTTTAATTGTTCAGTTACTTACTTTAATTGTTCAGTTACTTACTTTAATTGTTCAGTTACTTACTTTAATTGTTCAGTTACTTACTTTAATTGTTCAGTTACTTACTTTAATTGTTCAGTTACTTACTTTAATTGTTCAGTTACTTTCTTTGATTTTTCAGTTACTTTCTTTAATTGTTCAGTTACTATCTTTAATTGTTCTGTTACCTAATTTATTTGTCAGTTACTTACTTTAATTGCTCAGTTACTTACTTTTATTGTTTAGTTACTTTCTTTTACTGTTAAGTTGCTTTCTTTTAACCAGTTACTTCCTTTATTGTCAAATTCTAAGTCCTGACTCCCCTATTAGACATTAGAAGAAGGTCAAATTTATCACTGGTGCGATTTTGTGACCTCTCTCCTCTAAAAGTTTCAATTTTGGATCATAGTTAAATAAGTTCATACAAATTTGTCTCCGTAAGAGCTTTACAATGCGATAAGTTTTGATAGAAAACATGTCAGATTTCAAACTATTGTGAAAGGAATTGAGTCTTTGGAACAAAATCAAATATTTAAACCTCAATATCTTTAGAAGTCGATGTTGTAAACCTTTGATATTTCAAACTCAGAATATTTGATCTAATAGAATTCATAGTTAGAAATATCTAAGGTCTGCAACATTTTGGTTCCAAAGGTATAGTGATTAGAAATTCAGAGTTTGAGACAAAGACTCAATTTCTTTTCTAATCCAAAAATCTTTCCTGTCTGATAGTGTATACCTTTAATCTTTTGACCCTATGATCAAACTTAGATTATTTGATCTAATAGAATATCTATGGTCTACGATAATGGGTTGCAAAAATTTTGGAATTAGATAATCAGGGTTTGTGACAAAGACTCAAATCCTTTATCTCAAATGTACAGGCCCAATCGGTTAAATCAAATATACACCTTTTGCTAGATTACATCTGTTATATACATTTTGTTAGCTTAGAATAAGGATACTTTTTGGTGTGCTAACCTGGGGTCTTTTCATGATTAAAGCAACCAAGATGAAAAGCTAAAATGCAACAGAATTTCAATTTGTTCTAAACTTTATTATTGTTCTTTTTTTAAAATTCCTTTGGTTGGTCTACACTTGAGATAAAAATTATAAGCAATTCATGAAACTTTTTAGTTTTCAAATTTATATATAGATTGACATTATTAGCGTGAAAAAAAGTTTTTGATGTTTCATGATTATGGTAGATAAAGATAAGAATTATATAAATGGATCTAATTATAAAAGTTCATTGTTTATAGCTTTGGTGAGAGAAGAAAATAAATAACTTTTTCTTTTGATCGGAAAAGAAAATTAACCCAGTAATTAATAGCTTTGGTGAGAGAAGAAAATAAATAACTTTTTCTTTTGATCGGAAAAAGAAAATTAACCCAGTATTTAATTAGATCAAAAGTACATTATTCATTCTTTAAACGGGGTTACCCACAAAGAATAAGACTGTATGGACGATTATGAATTCGTCAAATATGACGACCCAAGGTTTAAATAAGTCTTCTGTCTGGAAAGTCTTTTTAGTGGCTTAATTCATGAGAAAGAAACATGTTTACAGTTGCATGGAATCATAAACAGACAGCATAACTTCCGTAGAGTTGTCTTTAAACATGTTTACAGTTGCATGGAATCATAAACAGACAGCATAACTTCCGTAGAGTTGTCTTTAAACATGTTTACAGTTGCAGGGAATCATAAACAGACAACATAACTTCCGTAGAGTTGTCTTTAGACATGTTTACAGTTGCAGGGAATCATAAACAGACAACATAACTTCCGTAGAGTTGTCTTTAAACATGTTTACAGTTGCATGGAATCATAAACAGACAACATAACTTCCGTAGAGTTGTCTTTAAACATGTTTACAGTTGCAGGGAATCATAAACAGACAACATAACTTCCGTAGAGTTGTCTTTAAACATGTTTACAGTTGCAGGGAATCATAAACAGACAACAT